TTACAGCAGGGCGGCGCTCGGGGGGGGGTTGTTACAGCTTGGTGGGATGGCGCTGCGTGGCGCTTGGGGGGTTGTTATGGGGGCGCTTTTTGGCGGTGGGGGGGTTGCTTGGGGCGGCAAAAAAGTTAGAGCCGGGCCTGAGCCCAGGTACTGGCATTCTCTTCAGAGTTATGCCCTTCTCTGCCTGTGCATACTAAGTGTTTGATTATGCTTATCCACTGATACTTAAACAGTGGGATTGTGTGTGTGATAGCTTTTAAGATGTAGAGAACAAATAGATTGCAAACAGATTCTGCAACCCTATTGCACTCTAGAATGAGTAGTGTTGTACAGAGGCAGCATAGTCTAGTGATTAAGGCAGACGATTGGAAGTCAGGGGATCCTGTTTGAGGTCCAACTCTGCTACCGGTAGCGTAGCAGCATGGGCTAGCCACTCTGCATACAAACCCGCCCAGACCCCTGGGTCACTACTCAGGGTCACTAGCCCCTGCCCATGCTACTGAGGGTACATCTCTATTTTTAGCATGCTAGCTTGAGAAGAGCTAGCATGAGTATGTCTCATGGAGCTGGGTGTGTAATTCCCTGCTCAAAGGGTAAATGTGGCCTTAGTGTGTTGCCTTGGGCAAGTTAATTTCTGTGCCTGTCTCCTCACTTATACTGAGGGGCTAATAATACTGACTTACCTTTGTGTGAAGTGCTGTGAGAGCCAAGGAGGAGAAGCTCTTTGTATGTGGCCTGTAAGAGTAGTGTCTCTCTCCAGGTACACTGAACCCTACAGTATATACAAAGCAAGCCATCGTTTGTTAACGTTACATCTGTAGTGATACCAGTGAGAGAGAGATACTGAGTCATGAATCTGGATTTCCCCTAAGACAGAGCACAAACCAGCAGGTCACCATGTTGGACGCATGAAAGAGGCATATGAAAAATGACTGATTCCGTGAGTGTGCAATGCATGTGCATTTTAACCACAAAAGTGGTCAGGGATGTCTATGGCTCAGTCAACATTTTAAAAACAAATGTAGAGACAGTTTAAAATAAACTCCTTTCTATTTTAATCCTCCTTTAATTACAGCTATTTATTGCGGTGCAATTTAGATTAGTTACTTTGTACAGATGAGCGTCTAAATGGATATAAGGGGACGCCAATGACTACTTGAGAGGATTGCAGGAGTACTTAGCGACTTAGAGGTGAGAAAGCCTCCACAACAACCAAATTGATATAGCTCCACCATTTAAAAGGTTGTGAACAGACTTAACACACATTTCATTACTCACAGAAGGATGCACATCTCACTCCATAACCAGTGGAGAAATGCAGGGGAAAATGTCTGCAAAATATTACTAGTAGCGAATCAGTTTGCAGACAGAAGAACAAGGAGAGAAACCTGTGTGTGCTGCTGAAGCTTAAAAGAGAAACATTTATGATTACAAAGTGTAATCATGAAAATGCTCAGAAGCTATTTCTGAAAAAACCCTGGTGGGATTAAAGCCTGGGCGCAGATTCTCATCAGCACCTACTGGCTAGTAGGTAAGTTTGAAGCTGTAGACACCTCACCTTTCTGACCCATGTAGACCCTGAATATTTTTTTTGCATTCCACTACAGCATGATAAGCTGTTGAGCTGAGAAGCTTTTCATTTAATTTTCTTAATGTATGACTTGGCCAGATGGAAAATCTACAACGGCCCAGGGGAGAGAGGTTTTAGAGGAGTAAAAGATATCATCTCTAGCTTTTACAACTCACAGAACAATGGTGAATAACTGGAAGGCTGCCTGCCAGCCTGCCTTGTTTTCTCTTTGTGCTTTGCTCCCTTCTGCATGTATTAACTGTTCTCTTGAGGCACCATCTGGAGTGAAAGGATGCTGTGTCCCCCTCTTCCCCTCAATAATTACCCTCCAAGTAAATATTTATGAGGCTGCAATGCCTAGCAAATCTGTGCCTATTGTATGTACCACCAATAGACAGAAACGTGTTTATGTGCGAGAGAGTAAGTAAATAAAAACATTCAATAAGATTGTTGCAGTACCTGCTCTTTTCAATGCAGCTGTTACCTGTATGACATTTAGGCCACGCGACCGTTTGTATGACGTGTATGTGCAAACTGACTCCACGGCAAGCACATCCATTTTCAGACGGCTGAGAGCACCTTGACAGCCACGTTGTGCACTGTCCTGCTAGGCAGGAGGCCTGAGCGAGGCCCAGTAAAACCGAGACTCTCTTGAAATAATTTGACTGCAGGGGTTGAGGCTTTCAGAAACACACATCATGAGCCTCACAATAAGTTGCCAAAGCTGCTACGTGCTCACAGAAGGCAGGAGCAGCACAGGTAGGAAGGGAGTAGGGCAGCAGAAGCAACACTGAAAGGGGCAAGGGAGGGGGAGTTGCAGCAGAAATGGAAAAAGTAGGGGGAACTGCAATACTGAAGGTAAAGGGGAGGGGCAGAAGAGGAGAGAACTCAGGTGAGGACTGACAAAACCAGAACCTATCGGAAGGCGGAAAAGGGAGGGGGGGGAGAGCAGACATGACGGAAAGTGTGAAATGGAAAGACACTGAAGCAGCGTTCACCAAAAGAGAAAGCGAGGGTGAAGGGATTTTATTTTTATTGGTTTCAGCCAACCTCAGAAAACTCCCCCCCCCCTTCAGCTTTAGAGAAATTGTTTTTACAAAGCAAAGTACTTTGCCTTCTTTATCACCCCTGTGTTTGTGTTAAACCAGCATGCCTCGCTGTGACTATGGGATTACAGAGAGGGTAATTAACCATCGGAACAACTTACCTAGGGACCTGGGGGTGGATTCTCCATCCTTTGCAGTCTCTAAATCAAGACTGGGTGCCCTTAAGAGATGGGCTCTGGCTCAGAGAGCAGTGAGTGGCTTAATGCCAGAATTGGGAGGGGAGATTCTCTTGCCTATGTTGTCTAGGTGGTCAAGCTACATGTTCCTAACAATCCCTGCTGGCTTTAAAATCTAAGAAGCTATTAATGAAACCCAATTTATGGATAACAGGGTCAAAATCCTGATATGAAGATTTTGGCCTTGGTGATTTCCTAGTTCAGCAGATGCATCAAACTTCCTGACCTTTCCAGCAATCCAGGACTCCTCACAATCACAATACAACACCAGCAGCTATACTCTGGTGTTTGATCTATGACCACTAAAAACCTGGGCAGAGCTTTCCATTTTGCCTTGTGCTGTGGGCTAGATTTGTTGCAAAACAAACATTTTAGCAAAAATACAACAAAGTATTTATGAACAGTCTTGTGATTAGACCCAGCAGAATGACGCTGCTGGTATCCGTGGAACAGCTGCTAGAGCAGGGGTGGGCAAACTAGGGCCCGTGGGCCAGATCTGCCCCACCAGCCGTTTTCAGCCAGCCCTCGAGCTCCTGCTGGGGAGCGGGGTCTGGGGCTTGCCCCGCTCCAGCACTCCAGCCGGGGAGCAGGGTCGGGGGCTGCTCCACGCTGCTTCTGGAAGCAGCAGCATGGACCAGCTCCGGTTCCTACGTGTAGGGGCAGCCAGGGGGCTCCACTCTGCACGGTGCCCCCACCCCAAGCGCTGCCCCCACAGCTCCTATTGGCTGGGAAGTGCGGCCAATGAGAGCTGCAGGGGCGGCGAACACAGATGGGGCAACGTGCCGAGCTGCCTGGCCATCACGCCGCGTAGGAGCCAGAGGGGGAAATATGCCGCTGCTTCCGGAAGCCGCTTGAGGTAAGCGCAGGCCAGAGCCTGCACCCCTGCCAGCGCCCCAGCCCTGATCCCCCTCCTGCACTCCAAACCCCTTGATCCCAGCCCGGAGCCTCCTCCTGCACCTCAAACCCCTCATGCCCAGCCCCACCCCAGAGCCCTCAGCCCCCCTCCCGCACCCTGAACTCCTCATTTCTGGCCCCACACTGGAGCCTGTGTGAGCATTCATGGCTCGCCATACGATTTCTATTCCCAGATGTGGCCCTCGGACCAAAAAGTTCACCCACCCCTGTGCTACGGCTATGGAAGGATGGGGGAAAATGCACAACCCTCGGCCTGTCTGTCCCAGAAGACAGAGCTCTGGACTGTAGAGGCAGGCTGCAGCTTACGAGGATATATTACGTTTACATAAAAATAATTTAGTTGTCCGAGACAAGCTCTCCCTGTTTTAAACACCAACAACTCTGCAGTATTTGCTACTTGTTTATTCATTTGGACACAGAGATTCATTTGTGCAACTTTTTATTTGTCAGCGTATTTGCAGAACACAAACCAGCCGTATAAATACTAGCACAAATGCAGACTCCCAGGAGTAGGTGCCCCGGAAGGACTGTCATGGCCATTATGAAAAGCGCTCTCTCTCTTTTTTATTCATAGGAAAGATTAGTCAAGCAACTGCTAATCGGGAACAAACCAGCAACAATCCCAACCTGTTTGTGGATAGTTCAAACAGAATAAAGGAATACCAAGCGATAAAGTTTAGCTCAGCCAATAAGATTAGAATAAAATCAAAGCCATGTGACTTGGGTAAATAATCCCAGGGGGTCTCTAGCAAATCACAAAGAGCAAATACCCACTTTCTGAGACTGTGAAAGCTGCCAACGGGATTTGGATGCCAGTTTCCATTCAAATGCATCAAATCCCTTAGACAGTTCTGACACTCTCAGCCATAGTGACCAACCTGCCAGCAATCCATAGATTAACACTTTTTTACGCAAACCACTCAGTTACAAATAAGAACACACTCAAACAGAAAGAATCAAGCCTTGCTCATTCAGAATTTGCAAACGGGGGAAAAACCCTTCTGAACTCACAATCCCCCCCCCCCCCCAATAATGCACTCAGCTCTAATGGTGAGTCACACAGAAAGAATGCAATGACTGAGAACCAGCAGCAAGTGTAGAATAAACTATCAGAGTTTTTAAATGGCAAAGTTACTAATCATTTAGAGAGAGGAGAAGGTGATAGA